ACGCCACTTGCTTCTCCCCGCTGGCGGCGGGGCCCAGCGGTGGCGAGCCCGACGGCGACGCGGTGGCCGGCTTCCTGCGCTGGTGCGCGCGAGTCGGGCTGGAGCTGAGTCCCAAGGTGGCGGTGAGCCGGCAGGGCACGGTGGCCGGCTATGGCATGGTGGCGCGGGAGAGCGTGCGGCCGGGGGAGCTGCTGTTCGCAGTGCCGCGCTCGGCGCTTCTGTCCCCCGCCACCTGCTCCATCGGCGGCCTGCTGGAGCGAGGTGGGTAAGGGGCAGAGGGCTGGCTCCGAGGCTGGCTGCCGAGTCGCGCCCGGGCCACTTCACCGGTGTCTTCCCTAGAGCGAGGCGCGCTGCAGAGCCTGTCGGGGTGGGTGCCGCTGCTGCTGGCGCTGCTCCACGAGCTGCAGGCCCCAGCCTCACCCTGGAGCCCCTACTTCGCGCTCTGGCCAGAGCTGGGGTGTTTGGAGCATCCCATGTTTTGGTGAGAGCCAAGGGAAGGGCTGGGGAGAACCTGTTTCAACCATTTCGCTCAGGGGACTGGGTATCTGCTGGATCAGAGCGGCAGGTTGTCAAGGGCCCTGGGTGGGTTGTCCTTGCAGGCCAGAGGAGGAGCGGCTGCGCCTCCTTAAGGGTACAGGTGTCCCGGAGGCCGTGGAGAAGGATTTGGTGAACATCCGCAGCGAATACTATTCCATCGTCCTGCCCTTCATGGAGGCTCACTCCGATCTCTTCAGCCCCACTGTTCGCTCTCTGGAACTCTATCGCCAGCTCGTGGCCATTGTAATGGCTTATAGGTCAGTGATTACAGCCTGGAGGAGCAGACCCTCATCTTTAGAACATCATTGAGGGGAAGGTGGGGAAGAAAAGTGAACTCCAGGTAGGCCCCTCACCCAAGACCAGGCCTTAATTGAGTTTTCTCTGTGGCAGCTTTCAAGAACCACTGGAGGAAGAGGATGATGAAAAGGAGCCGAATTCCCCCGTGATGGTGCCTGCTGCAGACATACTAAACCACACAGCCAACCACAATGCCAATCTGGAGTACTCTGCAGTGAGTGAACCCTTATACCAAGTTATGTGCATTAGGCATCAAACCATGGGGCTCCCTTTCCTGCGTACTATGAAAATGAGGTGAGATTACTCCCCCATGTACTTTTGGTATCAAGTTACGATAAAATGGTGTGGACACACCTTAAAGCTACCAAAACCAAAACAAAAACCTGCCTGCTCTGCCATGTCCCCTCAGGCCCTGTGGACAGCTTCGTGGAACAGCAATAGTTCAGTACTTTTCAAGAGGTGGAATGTTCCTGGGCCAGTATACTAAGGCTCTACTTCAGTCTTGGTTCTCTATGGAAAATTATGAGAAGACACAAGTGTATATGATAAAAAATTAGCAAATGACCTGGGCCTGGTGGTCTACACCTGTAATCTGACGAGGCTGAGGCCAGATTCAGGGTTCCGGGCCCACTAACTTCCAGCCGTTTTTAGTTTAGACATTAAGACCTTGTCCCCCAGATGTCAGCAGATGTGACTCACTTATTCCTACTTCTATTTGAAGCATGAAGTTTAACTTTTTTTTTAAAACTGTGTAGCCCTGACTAACCTGGACCTCAAGTGATTACCTCTTGAGCACTGGGTGTGCATCACCAGGCCTGACCTTAACGTCTTTTTAAAAGTAGTGACTTAAGTGCAGAGAACTCTGCATAGATGCACCTGATACACTGACCTGTTGGTTTCACCCCCTTCTATAATACGGGGCTTAACAGTAGACAGTGGTACGTGGTCACGGTCCAGTAGGCTCTTCTAAGAGGGAAATAACCTTTATAGGCTGGTGGGGTGTAAGGTGTGGCCCCAGCTTTTCCCTTTTATCCCAGGATTATCTCCGGATGGTAGCTATTCAGGCCATTCCTAAAGGTCATGAGATTTTCAACACCTATGGGCAGATGGCTAATTGGCAGCTGATTCATATGTATGGTTTTGCTGAGCCCTATCCTGACAACACAGATGACACAGCCGATATTCAGATGGTGACTGTCCGAGATGCTGCACTCCAGGGTGCGTCTGCCCAGCCCAGGTTCCACAAAACCTTTGCTGACAGCACTTGGCTTGTGGAGTTATGTCCACTCACTTTCATCCATTACCTCACAGGAACAAAGGATGAAGCTGCAAGGCTGCTCTTGTGTGAACGCTGGGATTTCCTGTGCAAACTGGAGATGGTAGGGGAAGAGGGAGCCTTTGTGATTGGTCGCGAGGAGGTGTTGACTGAAGAGGAGCTAGCCACCACACTTAAGGTGCAGGGCATTTAGAATAAAGGCAAACTAAAGATGAGGGGGACTCAATTTTCCCACAGTGGTAATCTGTCATGAAGCTCACGGATAGTGGTACATCCTAACTAAAGGGCCCTATGTTCCTTCTAGGTACTGTGCATGCCTGCTGAGGAGTTCAGAGAATATAAAAACCAGGGACAGGGAGAAGAAGAAAGGGAAGAGGACAGTCTGACACTCACAAATATCCCCAAGCTCCAAGTATCATGGAGACAGCTTCTTCGAGACAGTGTTCTGTTGACCCTAGAGACTTATGCCACAGACTTACAAACCGAGCAAGATTTACTTAGTAATAAGGAGGTCTACGCCAAGCTCAGCTGGCGGGAACAGCAAGCCTTACAAGTCCGCTATGGCCAGAAGAAGATCTTACATCGGTTGTTGGAACTCACAAGTTAACAGGTGCCCTGAATAACCAGCAGTGTGAATCTTTTAAGCTCGTGTTTTGCTTGGAAAGGAGGGAAATTTGGGACTTTTGCTATTAGGCAGTATCAAAAGAAAAGTAGCCCAAGGTAATCCAGGTTTTAATCTAAGGCAAGAGTTGTTGACATGTTAAGATTGAGATGAGCAGTTTGGGAATCTGCCAACTGTTAAGAACATTCTATTTTTAATCATGTCTTCAGGTTTTCAGTAGAATTTAATAAATACGGACCGAGTTAGAAGTCCGACCTTTTTGAAGTCCATTTCCTGTGGAGAACTTAGTCTAACTCTGCTGCTGCACTGTGCATCTGATCAGTAGTCTAAAGCTGGTTCTCAGGTTACCTCTCAAGACACGAAGGGTATCCCAGCTTCATTTGGCAAGGTAAATTATAAGTGGAATTGTTTCAAATACTACCTATTCATACCAAAAAAAAAAAACCAAAAAAACAAAACAAAACAAAAAAAAAACCTGAAGAGTGTTTTTTTTTTTTAAATTCAGTTTAACCACACAGATTTTCTTGCTCCGACAGCTCCTCCTGTTGAAGCAGAAATACCCTTACTTAGCATGGTTGTAGTATACCAGTAATCCCAGCTTCCAGGAAGCAGAGGCCGGAGATGGATCATTTGGTCTACATAGTAGTAGGCAGTAATGGGAAAGCTCAGTCATTCCGTAAGAAGGGACTGTTTCCAGGAGACTGGGCTCTCCACTTTTCTTCCTCACCAGCACTGCTACTGCCAAAGGCACAGTGGACTCCTATGCATGCTATGACTTTGACGTTTGCTGTCTTCACACACAAGAAAGCTGAGTTAGGGCCCAGGAACTGCAAAGGCTACAAAATAGAACATGGACTTGGCTGCTCTCAGAACTTTAAGATCCTTACAAGAACCAACTGTATTGGTCCTTTGGAGTCTTGTTATTTAATGAGGCTACAGCCTAAGCATGGTGATGGGTGCCCCTGGCCAGAAATGGTTTCCTCTTCAGGTAATGCTGTCCCTCAGGACCAAAAAGCAGGTTCAGTTTTCCCTACAGCCAGCTCTGGAGGAAGAAAAGGCAAGCAAACCCTATGGATCTCCACTGTGGACCTTGCTGTATTCTCAGGCTATTCGAGTCTTGCATGCCTACCTTTTTTAGTAACTTTAAAGTGTTGCATGGATTTGTGGAATGCCACAAATGTCAAGAGGACATAAGTTATGCTCAAGACAAGAGCATGCCATCACGGCTTCTACTGCAAGGTACTAGTTTATGTATTTTCCCTAGACACACTCGGCACAAACCCAAGAAGTTCAGACAAAAAGTTTTCTCTTTCATATATTTACACAAGTTCAAAATGATATTCACAGCATCTTCTAAATTTTGGCCAAGAGTCAAAAAAAAAATGCATTTAAACTTTGGAACTTGCCCATATAGACAGGAGGACAACCCCAGCAATTGATGGGGCCGACACCCAAGAACCAAAGGGCTGGGAAAGTCAGGAGGAGTTGAAAGGACTCTTCAGTTTATCATCTTGGTTCAGTGGGACCAAGGCTGCCGTCTCCGGGGAGGGCTACAGTTCATCTAACTGGCTCCAGTCCCTTCCATCACTTGCTGAGCCTGCTTCTGTCCCATGCAGCACTGTGCAACAGACTGGAACAACCTGGAAAGTGAAGACAAGGACACATTTACTTCACAATGTAGGCCTAAGATAGCTAATGTCCATCAGCTGTAACTGCCCATTAACTCATAGACCCAAATTAGAAGCATTCTTTTCTGTCACCCCGCTAGGTACTTAAATCATTTTCAACTCACTTTTCAATCTCTGGGGCACAGTGTACAAACTCATGGTTCCAGAACTTAAATGCTGGGTTTTTAATCAGCTCAATGAAGGTGATAAGAAGACCCCAAGGATGCGGCCTATTTACAATCAACCGTTCCAAGAGAACCCT